CTCTACTGTTGATTCCCTGTAAATTATTCTTCATTTCAGTTTGTGTAGCCTTCATTTCAAATTGGTCCTTTATTATGTCATCGATTTTCTTATTTATTTTCGTCACACTCTTACTAATATCCTTGAGCATCCTTATAGCCATTATTATGAACTCTGTATCTTGGATTTGTNATACAGGTGTCCCATTTTTCCCCCCAATTCACCCCCTCCACCTCGCTCCCACCCCCTCCCCAGGCCTTCACCTGGTCATTGTTTGTGTCCATGGGTTATGCTTATACTCATATAACTTCTTTTTTTTAATCTCTTCCCACCCTCCACCCCCTTTCCCTCTTCCCTCTGAAATATGATTGTCTGTTGCCTGCGTCAATGTCTCTGGATCTATTTAGTTCATCAGATTCTCTTGTTCATTAGCTTCTTCTTAAAGAAGACCCTTCAANTGCTTCCAGGTGTTTGTTTCTATGTATTAGGTAGAGCTGCTCTGTCTCCTGGAATTTGTAGAGTGGCTGTGTGTAGTAGGTGTTCTGTAGGGTGCAGTGGCTCAGCCTCCCCAGTCCCCTGAGCTGGGCCTTCTAGGTGCTCCCCTGTGTGGGCTGTGTGCACTGTCCTGTTGTAGTTGAGCCTTGGTTGCTGTTGGTGTCACTGGGAGGAACTGACCCCCAGGCCAGTCAGCTGTGAGGACCAGCTGCAGCTACAGCCAGAGAGCAGCTGTGCTGGAGACACCCCCATGGAGCAGGATTTACTTCAGTGGNAGGAACTGACCCCCAGGCCAATCGGCTGTGAGGACCAGCTGCAACTACAGCCAGAGAGCAGCTGTGCTGGAGACACCCCCATGGAGCAGGATTTACTTCAGTGGGGCTTTGGTGCTCACCAAGTGCTCCCCTTGAGTGTGTCACTCTTGGATGTGGTAGGGTTGTAATCCAGCGAGGTCGAGTCTGACCACCAGGTACACTGTCTCTGAGGCCTCCCAGGAGGTGCAGAGTCAGCCTGTGCCAGTGCCTTGCCCAGGGCCACCCAGCATGAGCTACACAGCAAACCGTAGTTGGCTGCTCCTTGAGCTGGGCTTGGAGGTGCCCAGGAGAGGCCAAGCTATGAGCCAATGCAGCTGCCGCTAGTGCCAGGCC